CAAAATGTTTCTCTTTCATTTTCCAAATTCCTTTCACCAGCCCTAGCAAAGGCTTTACCCTTTTTCACTGACTTATATTTCAAATAATGATGACAATGGTTTTTATGAATTACTGTTATGAAAAAGATATTTGTTCAGTAAAATAGTAAAGATTTGCCCCGGGGTAAAATACTTGAAAAAATTGCTAAAATACCCTGGGGTGACGGGGTCCCCGGGGTGGACACTCTAGTAATAAATTGACAAGTAAAATACCTACCCATTTTCTATTTTTAATTTTTAAAAAAAATTAATTTCGGTGCCTAAAACTTACTTTTCAATTACTATGGTTAAAATGAAATGTGTGTTACCGCACTAATCGAGTATTATGCACGCACTAATCGAATATTGGTTATAAAAAAATTTAAGCGCACTAAACGAAAACGCATTAATCCGAGGGATCCCTGTATTTGAATAAATCATGCTGTATCTTGTCTACTTAGAAAATGAAGATGACAAATGTGCAAGAAAATGAAAAAAATGGTAACATTTTCAGATCACTACATTATATCCAATTCAGATACTATCATATATGATCAATAAATGTACATTAACTAAGACCTTGTTCAGCACATCATTTTACTATAAAAGCTAGTAGACAGCTACCATTGTAATGTAACATGAGATTACTGAGCTAATTGAGCTTTTCATTTCTAAAGACCTATACAGATTTTTTTTATGTAATTAATTATCAAAGAATAAAATGATGTTGACAGTAGTTTTGGTGTGTGAAGTTGTGTTATTCATGTAACATTTTTATTTATTTTACACTACATAGGATGTGCAAGCTGAAGAAGACTTCCAAATTGAACCATCAGAAAAGAAAGGAAGTTTGAATACTTCACAGTGGCCATTATTACTAAAGGTTAGAAGTTTATAAACAGTTTCTGAAAATAAATTGGTTAAAGAAACAACACTATTCAAACTTTTTAACACTTAAAAACTTCCTTTGGAGCTTATACAAGATAGCTTAATTAATGCTTGTTTATAGACCTAAATTCACAGTAGACTTATTGAACCTACGTGCTTTTTCTGACATCTTGAATATCTAGTCAAATTTGGAAATCTTAATGCTTTGAGAATTTAACTAAAAGAAATCATACAGGATGGGAAAGTTAAAAACCGTAACTGTATATGGTTTTATTAATGTTTGTTTTTTAAGTTGATGATTTTTGGCCAGTTTAATACTTTTGGGGGGAAAATCTGTTTTTCATGTATCAATGTAACAGAACATTGAAACTTTCTGTAATTATCATGTTCATTGTATTATTACAATGAAAACTGAGATGTATAGTATTTTGAAGATTTTATAAAATGTGTAGAAATAGAGAAATCTCTTGGGAGAGCACTGATATCCCTTGTTGTTTTATTTCTTACATGGAAATACTTAACCAGATTCCATGAAACTTTTATATAAATACTAAGTGTATCTAATTACAACTTTAAAAAAAAATTCTATAATTTGCTTTGTTTTCTAATTTTTATGTCACAAAATTTCCAAAACCTTGATATGAGGCACTTTTTTAAAAAATATTAAAATTGTTTTGTTTTGCCTAAGAATTAATTTTGGTTTCATTCTGTTACAATATCTTACCTCCTCTCACAAAATAGCTTTTCTCGATTAGTACTGCTCTCTTTTGGCACAAATTTTCAACACTTGCCACTAGCCTTCCACCTTCTGCTTTTGCATATACACATGCAAATATTCATGTAGCAGCTCAGCTCTCCATCAGTAGGAGTGTGGCACAACTTTTATTGTAACCAGCACCCTCTTCACATCTTGATTGGCAATAGCACTATGTGCTGGTTTTTGTTCACAGATTTGTCAGTGTTTTCCTTTATACTATAGACTTAGTTTTTCTTTACTATTTATTTACATTTTCACATCTTGGAATTGTGCAAGGTGGCTTTTTCCAACTTTTCTTACTTTTTCTAGGGGCCGTTTTGGCTAGTATATTGTGGATCCTGCTCTGTGGAAAGTGGTGCCTGACTAGGTATACTTTTTCTTTTGAAAAATCTGCACTGTCCATCCTGTGATCGTGCTCAATTTGGAGCCCTTCCTACACCTGATATACAATTCTAGATGCTGCCAGGTGTTGGTTGTGTCTTCATTCTATTGTCATATGTGTCTGAACAATTACATTACAGGATTGGGTTATGCACACCGTAGAGATGGGGTATTCCATAGAACTGCTAATAGTTCTGGTTTTTTGGCTTCATAAATGTATTCATCCTGGATCATACATTCATGAACTAACATAAGTAAAGCAGACAGAGATTGCTGCCCATCTCTGATGCTCTGCAGGGTTTAGACTTCCTCCCACAAACCTGATGTACAATTCCAGATGCTGCCAAGTTTTGGTTGATTGACTCCATGGACATGATAGCTCTGTTTTTCAAAATAGGATATTGCAGTCACCCGTTGCACTGCCTGTGGTGATGGGGTCCTGCACACTCTCCACTGCATTTTCCCCTCCTTTCTTCTAGTGGAGTATAGGAGTCTTTACCACTTATCATTTCCTAGGTGCTGGGGTGGTAGACCATAAAGGCTTGTCCTCCTGAGTAATGAATCATACCACTCAGTTGAGAGTAGGGCAGTGGCATTCTGTAGGTCTTAATGGCATATTGCACTTCATAAAGCAGACCTGTTGTACAATTTCTGATACTGCTAGGTTTTGGTTGTAACTTTATGCCATATTACTGTCTATATATCTGACTGATTGCTTTTCCCTAATATGGGATTCCTCCTTCCTACCATCCTCCAGATGTACATTCCCGGTGGGTCTGATGTTGGTTAGAGATAGCCCAGTCACAATTAGAATTGTGTCGATGGCATGATGCCCTTCCTACCATGGACCTGATGTACAATTCCAGATGATGCCAGATTTTGGTTGAATCACTCAGCTATGCCAGGAATATATATACATAATTGCAGTTTGTCTGTAATGCTGAGATGTTCCTCCTCCCTACCATCTTCCAAATGTATATTCCCGGTAAGTCTGTTGTTGGTTAGAGATGGTCCAGCTAAGTAGCTCTCACATGTGAGGTGGCTGGTATTCCTCCTCCTAACACAGACTGGATGACAAATGCCCACTGCTGCCAGGTTTTGGACTGACGATGCACCCCAGGTTTGCGGTCCCTCTTCCTACCGTCTGCTGGATATCGGTTCCCAGCGGATCTGAAGTTTGTTGTGTTGGATATGCATGCAAGTGGAGATGGATTTTGGTATGGAAGCTCATCTTCCCTACCAATTCGCGTTTCAAGGTAAAGAGGTAGGTGATCCTCTACCTACTGCAGAACTGATGTACCATTCCAGATACTGCCTGGTGTTGGATGAGGTCGAACTACCACTACGGTTTGTTGTGCCTTGGCTACTCAACACCTAGGGGTCCCATTAGTCGGTCATACATATTCTTGGATTTCTTCATGTTTTTCCACCTTTTATGTTTGTGACACACTCATAAAAGAGTGAAGAGTATACCTGGATCAGATGTGGTGCAATCTCTTGCTGAGGTGTGATGTTTTCTTTTTTTTGGTTTCAGATCTCTTAGTCTTTCTTTGGGCACTTCCTAAAGAGAGAGAATTTTTTCACTGGCCTCCAACAGTTCAGTGTAGGATCCTATCTATTTTGTGAGAGAAGGTAAGATATCGTTTCGGAAGTTAGCATTTTCCCTTGCTGAAAATCTTCCAATTGATACTTACCTCCCCTCACATTTCCCACGTAGCCTACCCACTTCTTGTGATATATTGTATAGGTATTCTGACCAATCCCAAAGTGATTAACAAGTGCAAATGTTAAGAGGGTGCTGGTTATGATAGGAGTTGTGGGATGTGCAGAAGTGGGAGGTGGAAGGCTGGTGGTGAACATTGAAAATTTGTGCTGAAAGATGGCAGTACTGATTGAGAAAAGGTATTTTGTGAGAGGAGGTAAATATCTGTTTGAAATACATTTCAGTTTAGGTTTGAGATTTTGAAGCAAACAAACTAAGCAATTTTTTTACTAGGGGAGTAAAAGAATCCTGTCAACAGGCTTTTGAAGATAAACAAAATTGGCACTATAAGTTTGGTTTTGATACATGGAGTAGGCACAACATAGAAAGCCTATTGTGTAGCTTTGTGCTTAACAAGAAACAAAAGAAAAAAAAAATATTTTTAGAACTGATTTATAAGGGATTAAATAGTTTAACATGAGTGATGTTCCTATAGGAAATGGGCAAAAATTAATTATCTGTATATTTACTTTACTCTTAACTATATCTTCAAGTACTAAACTGTCATTAGTTGAAACCATTTTGGTTCATTTTATGGTTTGATATGACATTTGTATACTTAAAATACTTTGACTGGCCACTTTTGGCAATATTTAAATAATATTCCATACTTTTCAAGTAGTTTTCAACACTATCCCAGACTTTAAGCAAAAAATCCCTTCAGTATGTTGTTATGCTTATAAATTGTGCTCAAAATTTTTGAGGACATGATATTGCTTAGTGAAATAATGTATTGAGAATGTTTTTAGTACAATAATTTATGTAAAAATTTTTTATTGCTAATGTTAGTATAATCATGAGATAGGATACAACATGTTGAATAAAAAGCAAGAAATCAAGCTAGGGAACACACATTATCTGTATTGTCAATCATACAGTCACACATTTTGATGATTTGTGTCCAAGTGATTCATGCCATGTTTACATTGTTGACCTGTGAGGATTTGCCACTTTGCTATCTTTACATCTTAAAAGAAACTTGTTGGGTCTCTTGCAATTAGTTTTCAAGTTCTAATGCTTAAGAACATGTTTTTGAATGACTCACTATTTGATTAAGCAGAGAAAATAATATTTGTTATATGTAAAAATCAAGTCTAGACATGTATCCTGTAATGACGTAGTAAGGCTCCAAAATTTTTTTAATATAACATATACAACCTTTGTGTTACTTAGTTTTTTTATAGATTACTTATTTGAAGATGATGAGAAGATATTTCTGAATAATATATCTCAAACCTAAAAAAAAAATATTACTTGTTAAAAGTAATTGTATGGATGAAAATTCTGGAGAAAATATATCTCAAATTTTTTTATTATTATTATTATAGAAATATCAGTTTAATGAAAAAAGCTTTGATTTCCAAAACCTAATTATATGTCTAAATGTTTGATGCTGACTTTTGAATTTCATGACATTTAGTAAACTATGTAGTCCACATCTTAAGGAACAGAGTTAAAGAAGAAAATTATTATGTAAAATTCCATTTTTTGTTAACTGCTAAATAATTTCAAGCACAACAGTATCATAGTTAAATAGATATTACTTGTTAAAAGTTTTCTTTCTTCTTTTGTGTGCATGTTTTATAGAATTTTGATAGGCTCAATGTTCGAACTAACCATTACACACCTCTTCCACATGGATGTTCACCACTCAAACGAGACATTAAAGATTATATCAGTTCAGGATTCTTGAACTTGGATAAACCTGCCAATCCATCTTCACATGAAGTTGTGGCTTGGGTTAAGAGGATTTTGCGAGTTGAAAAAACTGGACACAGTGGCACTCTTGATCCAAAAGTTACAGGATGCTTAATAGTTTGTATAGAACGAGCAACTCGTCTTGTTAAGTCTCAGCAGGGGGCAGGAAAGGAGTATGTTTGTATATTTCGACTACACAGTGCACCAGAAAATCAGCAACAAGTTGTAAAAGTAAGATTTTTATTTTATGCTGCATTTATTTTTATTAAAAAAAATTGCAAACTTGATAACAGTAAACTTGATTGATACTCTCATAACAAGAACTGAAGGCAATATTTTAATAAATATTGCAACGTGGATGATTTTTTGCTTCAACCCTTTCTACCATTATATATTTTTATTGAAAGGCATGTGGTAGCTTATTGTCAACATACATCATCTTAAGTTTGTTGTTTGTAGTTGTACATGTATTACTACAAGTATATAAATTAAAATATTTTTTCAAACAAGATAAATGGTATTTATAATGGAATGACATTTCACTATCCTAATCTGACATCATTTACTTGCTAGAAAGTCGATGAAAGACATGCTTAACATCTATTGCTACAAATCCTAGAAGAAAACTTTTTGGAAGGTGATAACATTGTGACAAAATTTTTATGCGATAACTAAAGTTAAACAGATTACAGTGGTTTGAATGTTCAATTTTAGTATTATGTTCTGTGTCATGGCCTCATGACAGTACATATTTTTTGTAGTTATTAGTACTGGAGCATACTACAAACTTTTGTGTTTGTACTAATAAGATTAAAACAAACGCTTGTTGTATTATGATGTATTTTATATATATATCAGTATATTTTAAAATTAATAACTTCGAATTTTTCATGTATTAAGTGTCTTGAGGGCTTAAATGGTGCACTCTTTCAACGTCCACCACTAATATCTGCTGTGAAACGACAACTGCGAGTCAGGACAATATACGAAACAAAACTACTAGAATACGACCAAGAAAAACATATGGGTGAGTTTCCACTTTTTGAAATTGAAAAAAAACTTGTTCACATACAAATTTTAGTCTTTAAAAATACATGATTTCTCAAAAAGACAGAAATGCAATTCCCTTTTTTTTTAGATGGCATGTTTACTGGAAACTTCAAGTTATTGTTGTTTATAAGTAAGGTTGTATTTTAACAGAATCATTACTGTTCAGAAATATTTGTGAATCGTAAATGACAATAAAATTTTCTTGTAGGTATATTTTGGGTGAGTTGCGAAGCTGGTACATATATTAGGACATTGTGTGTTCATCTTGGACTACTACTTGGTGTGGGAGGACAAATGCAAGAGCTGCGAAGAGTTCGTTCTGGAATCCAATCAGAAAAGGTCAGAACTCATTAATACTTTGATCAGAAGCATGTGATACTGTAAATGGCAGTAAAATATTGAGTAGTTAGCAATGAATGGTGTGATTTTGCAGAAATATTTTCATGTATTATCTTCAACAAAATTAAAAGCACTTGAAGCTGTTATTTAGAAAGGTTTTCTTTTTCTTTTTTTTCTGTTAAAGATAAAAATGATTGCCAAATGATACAAAACTTTTTGTTGACTGTTGTTTGTTTGTAGCTATCAGTGTGTTTTTCAGTGAGTTAGTAGCTTGCTTTGATAAGAATTTAACCTTAATTGCTTTCGTGTTATCATTTGCAAAATATCAGTAGGATGCAGAAATGTGGAATTCATTATCATGTTGAATTTCCTGTCATTTGGCAAAAACAAAATATATTTTGACTCTAAAACTGTGGCTACTTTTCTCTGGTCCATTTGCCTACTTTTAGTCTAGGAATTGTGGGTTATGCAATAAAAGATTTGCGTACAGAATTATTTTGTTTGTACCACAAAATGTTCTACTTGGTTCTTTTTTTCAACAAAGTAGTAAAAACAAAGCAAGAATAATAATAATATAAAAAATAATTTAACACTTTTAATACCATGCAGTGTGTTAATGTTACTTCTGGTGCTTTTGTGATTAATACCCAGTGCCACTCGTATGGATAGTTCAATAATGCTCATTCAGCTTGCCAAGTTTTGTAGAACAATGATGCTGATAAGATTATAAAAAGAACGTTTAAAAATAATGGGTAAGTTTAGATGACCTGTCTTCATGTGTATTTTAAGTTGTATTTTTCACATATGATAATGTGTGATGTGTTTTTTTTATTCTACTGAATTTCAAGAATTGTATTTAACTTGCAGGAAGGACTTGTGACAATGCATGATGTTTTAGATGCCCAGTGGTTGTATGATAATCATAAGGATGAGAGTTACCTCAGACGTGTGATCAGACCAGTGGAAGGACTTTTAGTGTCTCATAAGAGGGTAATCATGAAAGACAGTGCTGTAAGTCAATCGGATTTCTCTTCAGGAGTGCATATCTCACAACAGTTGCTTATTTGGGCTATGCAGTAGATGATAAAAAAATATTAAATAAGTGATTTATGTGAAGAAGCTTAGATATGAAAATAATATTTATGTGTTATAGGGTATTATGTCCTACATCTTAAAAATAACACAGAAAAATTGTGTTAATTTTTCAATTAACTTGTTGACTGCTATGTGTTTTAGATCAAAATCTCTTCCAGTGCCAGGTTAATTTTTATACACAATTAAGAAAAAAGTAATAAAAAATACATGTTTTGATGTTTTATTACTTACATGAAGTTTGAAACTGTAAGGTGAAAGAAGTATTTTTATTCTTAATTTTTATTTATATTCAGACTGCTCAGTAAAGGTTTCATAAAACCACAGTTTTTTCAGTGAGTTTTTTTTTTGTATATTTATGCTCAATAGATGGAAACACTACAAATGTGTCTAGGATCGTTGATGGTGTAATAATCGAAACATGTCATTCTCAACAATTCTAGCCTTATAGAAATTAAGTTTTAAAACCTTCTGAATGAAGAAAGATGAGTGATGAATATGAAAACGAAGTTAAATTACTGTATGATTGCAATGACAGAAATAATTATGAACTTTTTTTTGTTTTACTTCTGTAGGAGTTACTAAGCTGTAGAAATCGTCTTATCTTTGGAGCTCATTCAGAGCATTTTACAAACATATTTGATTACTGTACGTGAAAGCTTAACACTGTAACAAGCTTTATAATTTTGGCTGACATCATAATCTACATCTAACTATAAAACTATACGTCCTATACTTGAATATTCTAAATGTATCTTCACGAAATTTGGTAAACTTTTAGTAAACATTACAAATCTACTGTACACAAAAAATCAGATTTTTTGATTAAGTATTTCTAGTAGATTTATCTGAATTTATGAAGCTTTTATTGAGTCAGTCTGAGTGCAAAGAGATTTTCATTTTAAGAATAAAAATACTTTTTTCATCTTACAGTTTTCATATTTCATTTGCATAACCTCTAGAACCTCCTAAATGAATATCAAAAGTAAAATTATTTTTTCTCTACCTTGACACTAACTAACAAAATAAGCCACTTAGGGTAAAATTAAATTTGAAAATTACAAAATAAATCTAGATTACCATTTTTCTTTTCTAGGATGACTGCACATTGTAACAGACTATTACACACTATTTATTATTATTGCCAAAGCTGAGTTCATTTAGATCTATCGCTTTATAGTAGCATTTAGAGTCAGAGTAAGTTGAAAGCCATTTATCATAGTATGACAACTTTGTATAAACAATCATGTTACTTGTGTGCACTTTAAATTACACTATGATGCCTTGTGATATTTGTGGGCTATCATGAATAATTTGTTTATTTAAATATTTTTTTCATTTAATTTTCCTTATCTAATCTATTAAGTTTGTGATGTTTACTTTTTGTTACTTTTATAACAATAAATAAAAATATTTATAAAAAATAAAATATTTAGTATTTGCACATGGAATTTTGACCCCATTGCACACTAACCCTACTTTTTATTAAGGATAGTGTCTCAAACATAAATTGTTTAAAATTATAGTATGTGGTTTAAATTATAAAATAATAATGTCGTGCACAATAAATTGTTTAAATAGAAAAATTCTGATGAGCTCCAAAGATAGCAACCAATGAAACTGAGGTCAAGTTTTTCAAAACTTATCTCAACAATCCTAGCCTCATAAAAACTTCTGTAAATTGAAACCTTCACTTGCTATTAGTTATAGATAACCCAACAGAATATCAGAGAATTATTGACAGAAAAAAACTGGATTTGATGAGAGGGGTGTGGCATATGCATTTCACTTTATTGAATAAATCTCAGTAAAGAAAGAAACTAGAAATGTACATTTTAACTAGTATAGGGAATACCTATAGTATAAGTATTTAATTCTTGAGAAAATTAGATGACCATATAGGATTAGAATTTATTTAAATATTTCATTTGAAAAAAAAAAAAATTAAAACCTACATAATTAGTCAAAATGATTGAACCCATGCATCGAGAGTTAAGCCCAAGTTTTAATTATTATTTATAAAACTACCTGAAAAGCAGTCCAGTTCCAGCCTTATCATCACCTACATTTTAATTCTTAGAAAATTTCAGTTTTTTCATGTACTGTGTGTTTGGACAAGCTCAAATTTTACATATAAATATTCTTAAGTTTTTTGTATTTACTATTTGGGTGAATATTTCAGGTCAATGCAGTTTGTTATGGGGCAAAAATTATGTTACCTGGGGTACTTAGGTTTGAAGATGGCATAGAGTTGAATGAAGAGATTGTTATTGTTACCACCAAAGGAGAAGCCATTGCTTTAGGTGAGTAGTGAATTTGTCATAACAGCAGCATATGTAATGAATAAGTGAAGTAAAAGAGGTTAAATGTCATTCATGTTATTTATTGATTCCTATTTTGCCATTCTTTAAATATATTGTTTTTTAGAAGATATTATTAAGACAACAATTTTACAGTTGGGCAGTTTATTAAAGTACTAAACTTAAAAGGAATCAGTACATGTCAATGTAATTTTTACTTTAATGCCAAAGTACAGAAAGAATTATATAATGAAGTTGTTAGTTTATTGTCAAACTGTGTTAGGGTTCTCAGAAAGTGTCATGGACAATTGAATGACCTTTATTATTCATTTACATATACATTTATACTACATTATTTGTAATAAACAAAATATTCAATTTAATGTTTGTCATTTTATTTTTAAGATTTTTTGAGCTTAAGTCTTTCATGGCTTTTGGTAAAGGGTGTTTTTGATGAAATTGTTGTGTTAGACATTGTAAATTAAAAAATAAGTGAAATGATATTGGTCAGATCGATAACTTTACCTAAAATGCAGAAATAATTTTTTAAACATTTGTACAGCCATCGCTCTGATGACAACAGCAACAATTGCAAGCTGTGATCATGGAGTAGTGGCAAAGATTAAACGAGTAATCATGGAACGAGATCAGTACCCTCGAAAGTGGGGTCTAGGCCCAACAGTATGTTTTTCTTTTTATTGATTAATTATTTGCAGTAACAATCATATATAAAATTAAGTACTTTTAGTTATATACATATATGAAATTTTTAAGCTTTACTGTTGTAAATATATATATATATATATTCACTAAAACCCATACAAACATCAAATACAATTTCTTCATGAGCCAAATTTGACACATTGGATAATAATTTTCTGCTTCACTAGATTGTAAAGCAAAAATCTGTTGTTAGTTGTGATTTTTATTTAGCATTTATTTATTTTTCTGTCTGTTGATTTGTTCAGTTATAATTCTATTTGCCTTAAACACTAGCTCACCTGCCTTCTAGTGAATATTAGGTATTAAATACTAATTTTTATATTAAAACACAATCATAAGACAAAAGTAGTGATGTATAGATAATAAGTTCATGATTAATTAGGTAAAACAAATGTAAAGTAGTTAGTCATGTGATGTATAATCTTGTGGTCTGGCAAGACAATACAAAAGCCTTAACTTGAAGATTCTTCTAGATTCTTTTTCTAAAAATCAGTTCCCAACTTTGCTTTATATATATATATATATATATATACACGTTCTACTAAGAAAGTATTTCACCGTATTTGAGGTGAACTTTGTTTTATTTGTTTGTTTCAGGCATCAGTGAAAAAGCAAATGATTAAGGAAGGAAAGTTGGATAAGTATGGAAAACCCAATGAGATGACTCCAGGAAGCTGGGTTGAAGAATATAAGGATTTGAGGTAAATTTTTAAATGGTTGATATTGATATCTTTAGTAGATAAAATATATTTCATTTTCAACTTCTTGGGCTCAGCAACATGTCTGTAGCTACGAAAAGTTACATGGTGTAATTTTGAACTACTTCTCTCTAAATATTTGAATTTCATATAGTTTTCTTTCATATTAAGAAACTAGAAAATTCTATTTAAATATAAAGTTAGGTTCATAGTATGTTGATTTGATAACTTCTTACTAACAGAAGCCACATTATCTTTGGTTTTAGTCTTGTCAAAGGAGCACCACAAACACCATCTGTTCCCCAAGAAACTGTTCCTTCTATTAAAAAGGTAAAGATTATATAAAAGAAAAAAAGTGTTATCTTAATGTGTGTATGTGTAACCCAATAGACAAGTTTGTATAATAGTATTCTAATTCAGATAGTGTGTTTGTGCTCAATAGATGGAAACTTTACAAATGTTTCTAGGGTTATTGATGGAGTAGTAGTACTTACTCTACTTTCTTGCATATTAACAAATTTTTGAAACAATGTACATACATATTTGTATAATGTAAAATGTATTTTTTGTTTGTTTATAAAATATACATTGTTATAAAGACCTAGATACATAGAGAATATAATGTAAATGTTTGTCTTTGCCCAGTATGGCTGTAAGAGCCCAGGTCATTTGCAATTTATACTTATTTCAAGGTCTTTGGAATACATAAGTGTGTATTAGGTCATCAAGAAATTAATGTCGTGTTTTGGAACACTTTCATTAACCACCCCAAAAAAAACGTACATCAACTATAATAGTTAAATGAACCATCTAAATATCACTTTAGTGTAGCCTATATATTGTGTAAAGTTTTAGTATACTCTCAATCCCTTATAGTGATTGCACACAACAAGACACGCAAATTTCGTTCAGGTGACTTTAGCCTTAAAAATTGTGATGGCAGGGGCCAACATCTTGGAATTAATATTGATGCTCTGAAGACAATTGTTGAGTCTAACTCAAGGCTATGCACTCATGAAATTGCTCTCTCATGAAACAATATGTAAACATCTAAGGAATATGGGAAAACTCCATAAAGAAGGTGTTTGGATGCCTCACAAACTCTTCCAACGTGAAAACATTGCTTCATCTGATCTGGCGCGTGAACCATTTTTGGACAGAATTGTCACCAGTGATAAAATGGATTCTCTATGCAAATATTAAATGCCAAAAACAATAGCTCAGTCCTAGACAAAAAAAACGCTTCCTACCCCAAAACCTGGACACCATCCACAGAAAAGGCTGCTTTGCATTTGATGGGACATCAAAGGAGTAATTCATTTCGAACTTCTCAATCCACAGCGAACTGTCAAAGAAGAAATTTATAGTCAGCAACTGGAACGTTTAAATCAAGCCCTTCATCAGAAATACCCTTCACTCATCAATCGGAAAGGTGTTTTTCTCCACGATAATGCATGTTCACATGTGGCACATTTGATGCAACACAAGATTATAGAGTTGGGTTGGGAAGTTCTCCCACACTCACCATATTCTCCAGATATGGCACCATCAGATTACCATCTTTTTCGTTTGCTGCAACACCATCTTAATGGGAAAACATATGCAAATGTAGAAGGTGTTAAAGAGGATATCAACATGTTTTTTGCTTCAAAGCTAAGCGATTTCTTTAATCAGGGCATTAACAACCTGATTGTAAGATGAAAAAGCATCATCGATAAGAATGGAGACTATTTCATTTAATAAATGTTTTGTTTTGATACATAAGTTGTTCAAGTTTTTTAATCTAAAAAAAGCAACATTAATTTCTTGACAACCTAATAGTTGACTTTTCAGGTGTTCTTATTTTGATACAAAATAGTGAAAAACCCTGTATAAGCCTTCAAGCTGTATTCCAGTGTATGAAAATTAGAGTGAAACTTAAATATAGAATAGACATTTAAACAGAACATTGATATTTGTTACAGCTGTTTGTTATATAAATGATAATATAGTGGTTATTCATCACAAAATCCAAGAAGAATAGCAAAGTTAAGACACAAAGTTAGGTTCTTAAACAATACTAAGTTATGCATAAACCTAATATTATGAAATTAAATAGGCTTGAAACTACTTCAAAAACAAAAAAAAGAATTTGTCAAGCTCGCTGCATAGGAAACAAAAGAAAAATTAAGGCAGAATAAGGGGAGGAAAAAATTTTTACTTATTAAGTTTTCATAATATATCTATATATGGGTCTATAAGTATGAGGAACACATCATTATGTTCCAGTTTGCATTAAAGGCTTCTAAAATCTATCAAACTTGAAATACTTGTCTAAGGAGTTTACTGTTGCAGTGATGCTAGTACTTTTATTAAATTGTAAAATTGATAATCTTTTTTTAAAAAAAACATTGTTAGTGTGTGTGTGTGTTCATGGATTTGTTTTAAGCTTTTATGATGTATAAAAACCTAACTTCCTAACTTATTTATATAAATAGTTTATATCAGTATTTAGTCCTATGGTTTTGAACCACAAGTTTTATAGCGATAGTTGTGGAATGTAAGAACACCTGATGTGTGGGTGTTCTCAAAAGATAGAACTATTAATTTTCAGTTGATCCATTATCAAGTTGTAGTGTGTGGTTTTAGTTTCTGTATGCAGCTACTTATCTTTCTATCTCTCTCTCTCTTTTTTTAGCGAAAACACAGTAGTAGTAGTTCTACCTCTACAGAAGAAGTGAAGCCAGTTATAAAAGAGGATTTGCTTGAATCCTTGCCAAGTACCTCAGAGATAAAGAAAGAGAAGAAGAAAAAGAAAAAGAAGAGGAGAGAAGATGATGGTGAAGCAGTTGATCAAGCAGTGTCTGAGCCAGTAAGTTACAGTGAATACTTTTATTTTGTGAAATTAAAAACTAATTATCAGTAAAAAACATTTCTTGAGTATTTAAGAAATATATATAATATTTGAAAAACATGAATTATGGGAATGTTGTAGGAGTAATATAGTATTTTTGTAGGATTTTGTATTTTTGTATATTTCAAACGTTGTTTGAAACTGATTTGGTATTAGAGTTATATAATTACTTCTTTTTAGAAAAAGGAAAAGAAGAAAAAGAAGAAAAAAGACAAGAAAAAGGAACTTTAAAAGAAATATCAGAATTGTTGGGCTGGTCATTAGGATTCATTCAATCTTCATTGTTTATATTCAACCAAAACTGAATAAACTTTTATTACATCTTGTAAAACTCAAGGTTGTGGAACTGTTCTTATTTTTCAAATATAGTTTTGGTAAATATCAGATCAATAACTGTGGTTTTTCATTGTTTTCATGCTCATAAAAGTAACATTTTTTAAAGAATACAAGTTCACTTTCAAGGGAACTAACTTCAGAGTATTTTGGTGAATGTTACATTAACCAATCATTTATTTGTTAATATTATAAGTCGTAGACTTTTGTTCCACAACTGTAAGAATTTTAATATTAAGCATAAATGTGCTTAAACCCACATTATTACATGTAAATAATATAGGATTGATAATAATATTGTTTATGATATCTTTTTTTTTTTAATATGCAATTTAATGACATCAAAATTTTAAAACAAGTTCATGGTATTTGATTAACAATACTACCATTTTGAGAACTTGCACACTATTCTAGCGCACTGGCTATGATTAAGTATGGATGATCGGCACTTTTGTAAAAGGTAAAACTAAATAGATAAATGAATAAAATGGAATGTTTATTGAGCTCTCATTAAAACAATTAGTTTGTAAATGGAAGGGGTTTTAATTGTATACTGATAAATGTTTTAATGTATTTATTTGACTGGCTGCGATATCACTTCTCAATAAAAACAGCCTTGAAATCGGGTAATACCTTTCAGATGGAATTCATTAGAGGGTATAGTAAATGTAAATTTTGAGAACCAGCAAATTTGTTGTTCTTATTAAAATATGTTTGTTAGTGTCCAGTACCAGTTGACGTCTTCCAGAAACTACTTATACTAGACACAGTGTATAAATAACTACAAGGTCAAATGTTATGGTTCAACGTACTAACTTCTTCCTGTAGTGAGACAATTTTTTTAAACTCATGACAGAAGCTCCACCCATCCATATCTTCAAAGGAAGTTTTCAAAACCATATACTTCTATTTAGTGTACATGTTTATAACTGATAGAAAGAGCTTATTTTAAACTTCATGCCTTCAGTGACCCTTTTGAGATGGGGACTCACAGATGTTAGACTGTAGATTTGATTCAGAGCTTATTAGTGAGTCGATGCTCTTAGCATTTAGCAATTTTTTTTACCCTAAATATAGCTTAATTAGAAAAACAGTTAAATTAGTTGTTTTTCAATATTCTATTTTAGTAATTTTTGTATTATTCATGTTTTAAAATTGCATATTCAAAGGTAACTTAATTTTTCTGTTGACAAAAAAAAAAGACTGAGAAAAAAATTAGGATTGAGTATCTACTAGTGCGGAGTTCAAAGCTGCATGTGCATAAGTATATATAAATATTCCCACTGTGAGGTGTCGGGGAATAAAATTAGAATAGAATATATGTGGAAGGCAAAAAGTTGAAGCTCTGAAGATGAAATTCAAGATACAATGACAAATATTTCATTCAAAGAAGATATTAAGGTACTTTTCATTTTATTTCATAATTTCTAAAATTTCATGTCATTGTACATTGATGGTTTATCTACAGTTAGTGTTAAGATAAGGAACATAACAGATAAGATATAAACTTTTACCTTAAAAACTTTTGATATTAATTAAGGAGGTTAAGCAAATGAAAACTAAGTTGAAGTATTTGTATTCTTAACATAAAAATAACATTTCATTCAGATTGACTCAGTAAAGGCTTTGGAAATTCACAAACAACCTTTTATTATAAATACTTTATTAAAGAATCTGATTTTTTGTGTACAACAGACTTGTAATGTTTACAAAAGTCTTGCCAAATTTTGTGATGATACACTTAGTACATTTAGAGTTATATATAGTTTCATGATTACATGGTTTGTTAAACAAACAAATACTCTCTTACTAGTGAAGAATGAGACCTTCAGATATCACCTCCAAAATACATTTTAAAGAAGAAATGAACAGGAGTGTCTACCAATGAGTAAACAACTATGTAAACACCAACAAAGAATTGTTTATACCTATCTTCCTGATTGCATTACATGTGACTCAGACAGAAAATACAATGAACAGGATATCCCAACACAGCTACTCATGAAATTAATCACCATCACAGAAATAAGACTCATTGTGAAAAAGCTAAAAATAAGACTCTAAGTCGATTTTGCATACAATATTTACTAATCAAGAAAGGCCCTCTGGGATTGTAAGAACATCTAGCTGCAATTTTTAACCTGACATTAAAATCAGGCTACATAACAGCTGCTTGGAGGTTAGCAGATGTTTTAATGTTTCTGAAGGTGGGTAAACCATAAAAGCTACAGACCAATCTGCCAGACCAGCTGTATTGGCAAACTTCTAGAAAAAATCATTAGTCGAAGACAATTGTCATATCTACAACTATCATTAAAATTACAGAAAACACAAAATGGTTTCTGCAAATCAAGACAAACCAGGGATTATTTAAGTTGGACTGTTATAAATAGTTTAATCAGAATTAATGCACTGTCATCTCCTTTCTCAAGGTAGAGTGAGCTTTTGAGAGTGTACGGCACAATGGGCTAAATTTTCAAATGTCTCGCATGAATCCAACATGTGGTATTATTTGTTGGCTTTTCAGTTTTTTTTTATAATAAAAAGGTGAGAATTAATGTGTCTGGCACCTTCTCAGATTATTTTATTCGAGAGGCAGTTGTCTTGTAAGGAGGGGTAATTAGCCTTATATTTTTCATCAGGTATGTGAGTGAAATACCATTAATAAACATTTTCCAGTTTTTGCTCTTAGTTTGATGATGATGTGGCTATATGGAAAAGTTCAAACATCTGGACGTAGATGTAACTAACCTACAACCACGATTAAACAAACAGGTCTTCTGTAATAAAAATAAATGCTTCCAAAACACAAGTGATACTTACACAAAATTGACTAAGTAGACTACCCCCAAATTACATCTAAGTGGTACCCTTCTTCATGTAGCTACATCAGGTAAATTCTTGAGCTTAACTTACAACTCCACACTTGAGTAGAAAAAACACATAAGTAACATTAGAACCAAAATATGAAAAAGAACCAATTATAAATGTGGTGTCTGACTGGGAATAATAAAAGGTGCAACAATTAGGAATATGCTTCAAATTTATAAAACATATATACATGTCCAGTGGTAGAATATATCTACCCTGCATGGTTAAATATCGTAAAATTACACATATATAACCAAACTACAGACAATTCAATCATCATTAAAGCATACAGAGTACCAAGAAGCATCAATTCAACATTTTTAAACAATTACATAGTCATGCATATGTTGTCAGACAGACTATTTTATAGATCAATACATTTCAAGAAAAAATTTAAAAATATCCTGGAAAACTTTATCATACATGATAAACACAGACCAAGTATGGTACTCAGGTCTATGTTTATTGTGTATGATAGTTTTACTGTACCTCTTACCATTTAAGTTCCCCATACCTATGACCACTTAATACTAGGCAAATCAGTAGTTAGATGTACTTCCACAGTGTCTTTGAAAGTGTTCTGTTTCAAAAGTAAATAAAACCAAAATTAAGAGTAACAAATATTTTTATTCCTTGCTTTTGAAGTTCATATGTCATGTGTGAGGTAACCTATGGACATTAGTAGCATGCATTGCAGTAACTGCATCTTTATAAACTGGATTTTCCTAACAATTGGTAACATTGACTGTGGAGGATGGAAGAGCATTCTGTTATCATTAAGCAAACCACAAGCATTGGTATCCACGCTGTGGAGGGAGGGAGTAAGAGATCCAGTGTGCACCTAACTTTCTCGGATATCATGACTAAAATCACGACCATACAACAACTACACTAGTGGAATAGGTGAATTCCGAATATCTGCTTTTTGTGATTTTTTAAGTTAATATTATATTCTGTGCATTTAACTCGTAGTAAGTTATTTTTCATTCATGGCTGAAAATTATTCTAATGATAACTTACTTGTACAACTTTTCATTGTTAAAGAATTATTGCAATGGATCTTACCTAACCTTACAAAACTATGATTATAATTAGATGACTGAAGTTATATAATGCCTAAAACTGAAGAGATTTTAGAAACAATCGTTCATTAACATCGTTATTAAGTTTCTGTTGTTTTAAATAAATAAATGACACAGAGTTAACATGCTTCTTTCATCACACAAATTTTTATTATTACTTAACCACAAGCTCATCATCAGGTAAGAGACTAGGCTTAACTGATTAGAAAAGGAATGGTACATAATGATATGGGTAATAAACATTGTGTACGAGATTATGCTATTCTGATAAAGCACTGTTATTTAGAATAACATACATACTATTGCTTGCTTTACCATCCCTTGGCTTTTCTTTGCCAGGCTTATATACTAACAAAGAGGCGTATCTCGATCACACTCGAACTTCCCCGATAATTCGAGAAACTCAGTCACGCATGCTCCCAGCGTCACGTGACTTCCGCTGTCGTAACACTGCTCCTTCCTTAGTATTGTTCGTCCCGAATAATAGCCACTTACATTAAACCAATAAATAATTAACAACAACTTAATTAAATGTACAGAATTTACAAACATAAAATTAAAATACAATAAAGTCTCTTAATTTTACAGGACGTTTCTTCATTCGTACTGGTCTCCATCTCATTGGCTTCTGCTTCACATAGGATTCATCTGCTCCATCAGGAAATGTCCCATTATCGGTAGCAGTCACATTAGTGGTAGTAACTTCATGAAGGACGTCACTGTTTCCCTTCTCAAAACCGAGTACAGTTTCTTCTCCAACAGTAGCTTTTTCAGGTGACACATCTTCAGCAGCGTCATTTGTTCTGTTGTCCATTTCGTTCCAACTGAAATGTCCTGGATCGTGATAACGCCAAAGCCTGTTGCATTGTACCACCTACTGCTGACCTCGCCTACCATATTTTATTTGGAAAGTCACGTCTGAGAGACGATCCACTATGTCATATGGGCCTTCCCATGGAGAAGACAACTTAGGAGACTTCCCTTTGGTCTTCCTGGGATTATACAACCACACCTTGTCTCCTGGTTCAAAGCTGACTTCAGTAGATCTCT